AAACTGGTCTCCTCTGTCCCCAGACGTCTGTTGAGTGTTGTAAGAAGAAGGGGGATGCCACACAGTGGTAAAAATGGACTTGTCCCAACTTTTTTGGGATTTGTTGATGCCATGAAATTTGGAAACAACAGATTTTTCCCTTAAAATGATACATTCTCTCAGTTTAAACTTTTGATCTGTGATTTGTGTTCTATTCTGAATAAAATATTAGATGTTGGCACCTCCACATCATTGCATTCTGTTTTTATTCACAAGTTGTTTAGTGTCCCAACTTTTTTGGAATCTGGTTTGTACATTTCTGTTCAATTTTGAACCTATTTAACACAAAATGTTTAATTAAATTCTGTTCACTTCAACAATGATACAAGCATAAAACAATAAAATAATTATGGCACTGGTACAAAGACAATAGATACTTTTTGCATCCTTGACTGTGCCATATTTTGATAAACAATCTTTTCAGATATAATGAATTATAACCATTACTAAAAAAAACTGCTGCAAAACTACTAAAGAGAGAATAATAAATCACAAGACTGCAAAGGAAAATGTTCTTTTTAAAAAACAGCAAACTCAAAAAAACAAAAGGTGTTATATTGTCAGATATGCAACAACTGACACAAATATGTAAAATAGCAGTGATTTTCTTTTAATTTTTATTATTTTACTAGGTGGGACATTAAGAACATCTTCTTATTTACAGTCGGCCTTGCATGTGTGAGAAAATAAATGAATAGCTCCTGCTTATTTCAGCCTGCCAGTCAACAACACATACCAGAATACATTCAACCTGTCTACATACTGAACTGAGACAGGTTTTTACAAGTGCTTGGGCAAAACATTGGAAACAGAGCTATTTTAATTATTATTTTTTTTCTTCTTCTTCTTCTTCTTCTTTTGGCTGCTCCCTGCTTTAGGGGTCGCCACAGCGAACTAAGTCGCACGAAGACTTAGCAGTTATTTTTACGCCGGATGTCCTTCCTGATGCAACCACAGACAACCGAGCTACCAGAGCCCTCTGTGTGGAGCAGAGAGCTGTTATATAGGAAATCCGGCGGAGCAGATGGTGGGAGTTAAGGGCCTTGCTCAAGGGCCCAGAGTGGGATGAATGAGGGTGGGGGCAGGTGTGGGTGTTTCACCTACCCCACCCACATTTTTGATGTTGTTGGTACCGGGGCTTGAACCGGCGATCTTCCGATCGCAGGCCCACCTTCTCTAACTAACCGCTTCTCTGACTTTCATCACGGTCATTTACATTCCTCTGGATGCTAATACTAATGAATCACTGCAGGAGCTACATGATATAATCAGCTTGCTGCAGAGCAAACACCCCGAGGCTCTTTACGTGGTAGCCGGAGACTTTAATCACATGAATCTAAAGGACTGTCTCCCAAACTTTTATCAACATATGGCAATTCCAACACGTGGAGACAACACGCTGGACCATGTTTACATGAACGTAAAAAATGCATACAAAGCCGAACCCCGCCCCCACCTAGGACTGTCATACCACATCTCAATCTTCCTGGCTCCTGCTTACATGGCCCCGCTGAGACGCTCCAGACTGGTACAAAAGAAAGTTAAATGTTGGATCCAGGACAGTGGCCCCATACTGAGAGATGGTTTTGATCGAACAGACTGGCAGGTTTTCAGAGAAGCTGCTGAAAATGGAGGATCGCTTGATCTGGACCAATACACATCCTCAGTTCTGGGTTACATTAGTACATGTACTGACACCGTCTCCACTATCAGAAAGGTTAAAAGCTACCCAAACAGAAAACTTTGGCTAAATGCAGAGGTGCGCACCCTGATGGAAGCCAGGAACACTGCCTTCAGGTCTGGAAACTCAGAGGAGCTGAGTAGGACAAAGAAAGAGCTGGTTGCTGGTATTAAGAAGGCCAAGGCCAGATATGCACAGAGGATCAAGGGTCAATTCACCTCGCAAGACCCTCTGAGCATGTGGAGGGGCATTAAGTGCATAACAGATTATAAAGGAAGGAGTGAACAATGCCCAAAAGACCCATCTCTGCCTGATGCCCTCAACAAGTTATATGCACGCTTTGAAGACCCGAACAGACCACCCAGCACCAGACTCACCTCACCACCGGATGAAGAGCATCTCAGCATGACTTCAGCCAAAGTAAGGAGTACTTTCAGGAGGATTAATCAACACAAAGCAACCGGCCGAGACAACATCCCCGGAAAAGTGTTGAAAGAATGTGCTGATCAGCTCTGTGAGGTGCTGGCAGACATCTTTAACACCTCACTTACCCTGGATACAATTCCCATCTGCCTGAAGACTGCCACCATCATTCCAGTCCCAAAGAGCTCTACAGTGACTGGTCTGAATGACTATCGACCAGTAGCCCTCACCCCGATAGTCGCTAAATGCTTTGAAAAACTGGTCATGACCCACATCAAAACAACCATCAACAAGGACCATCATCAGAATGCATACCGTGAGAACCGATAAACAGAGGATGCCATCTCCTCTGTGGTCCACAATGCACTCACCCACCTGGAGCAGAAAGACTTTTACGTCCATATGCTCTTTGTGGACTTCACATCTGCCTTCAACACCATGATCCCCCAAACCCTGATGGACAAACTATTCACACTAGGACTAAGCCCCTCGATTTGCAACTGGGTACTAGACTTCTTAACAAACAGACCACAGTCAGTGAGTATCCACAACTTCTCCTCCTCCACCATAACTCTCCGCACTGGCTCTCCTCAGGGATGTGTGTTGAGCCCCCTCCCGTTTACTCTGCTCACATATGATTGTGCAGCTACCCATCCAGGCTGTCACATTGTAAAGTTTGCAGATGATACAGCGGTGGTGGGATGCATCACAAACAATGATGAGTCTAGTTACAGACAAGAGGTGGAACACCTGGAGAGCTGGAGCAAGGAGAAAAGCCTTCACATCAATGTGAAGAAGACAAAGGAGATGATTGTGGACTTCAGAAGGAACAAACACACCTACACCCCCCTGAATATAAGAGGATCTGTGGTGAAAGTGGTCTCCAGCTACAAGTACTTGGGTGTACACCTGAATGACAAACTCAGCTGGGGCAACAACACCACCAGCCTGATCAAGAAAGCTCATCAGAGACTCTACTTCTTCAAGAGGCTGAGGCGAGCTGGTTCAGTCCTCATCGCCTTCTACAGGTGTGCAGTGGAGAGCGTCCTGTGCTCCAGCATCAACGTGTGGCATGGAGGCTGCACAGCTGCAGAAAGAAAAGCTTTGCAGAGAGTGGTGAAGGCTGCACAGAAGTCTGTTGGAGTCGGTCTCCCCACCAACACAGACATCTATACCTCCAGATGCAGGAAGAGGGCCACCTGCATCATGAAGGATCCCACTCACCCAGCACACACACTTTTAGCCCCGCTCCCCTCAGGAAGGAGGTTGAGGAGCATCAAGTCTAGAACCACTAGACTTGGGAACAGCTTCTACCCTGAGGCTGTTAGACTCATGAATCTCTAACCAGAATAATCACTGTGAAAAATCACATCATGTTGCTGCTGATCTGTTTCATGTTGCTGCTGATCTGTTTCATGTTGATGTGTTCATGCGTGCTCATCTGCTCCCACAGACTCATGTTTGTACTGTTGTTCAATATAATGTTTTTATGCTGTTAGTGCTTAGTGTACATTTAGCTGATGTTTTTCTTAGTTCATATCTTAAATGTTATCATTGTTTTTCTTATACATTTTATTGTTGGATGTAACTGGGACCCTGTGTACATAATTTTGCTCCACCACATGTACCACATGAGGTGCGAACGACAATAAAGAATCTCTGACTCTAACTCTCTGAGGTGTTTTAGGGAGGGCTTTATTGTCCAGTAGACGTGAAATTATAAAACTAAAAACATCTAATGGTTGTTAACATTTATTGATAGTTTTACATTTTGAGACAAAAGAAAAGACTGCATTTCATCCATCCAACCATCCAACCATTCAGCCATCCAGCCATTATCTTCTTCCTTTTCAGGTCACTGGTGCTCATATCCATCAGTCACAGTGTGAGAGGTGGGGGACACCCTGGACATGTCACAAGTCCATCACAGATTTTTTTCTTCCTCCCAGGCTCTCATCGAGGTGGCGGCTTCTGTTTTTTCCTCCCCCATTTTTCATTCTTCCTGCACTGCTCTCTGTCTATCTGAAGCGCCTGGGTCTCAACTCCCGAACATAAATTAAGAAGATTATGGATTTGGTATCGTGGGCGTTCAACTCTATTGATAAGATTTTTTCATCAAAGCGACAAGGTCCTGGAGAACCGGCGTGTCCAGCTGAGACACACGCTGTGGGGTACGTCATGGATTCGTGGGGAGTGTGGCAGATGATGTGTCTCTCAGTTCTGTCTCAAGAAGATGTTGAAGACGTTTATTTATTTGGATTTATGATAGCAGGGACTCTGCTTTTTGGCATCGGCGGGGCTCTGTTTTATCGA